TGGAAGGGAGCTGAGCAAGGGCATCGCTGGACTGGCAGCGTGAATGAAAGTTTGGTCCGAATTCCGCGCAGGGTAAGGAACAAAGCGTCCCGCCACCTCCGCCCTTCCTTGTCGCCCGCCGCCGCCTCGCGGCCGCGGAGGAACGCTGGAGCTTCTTCCCCGCCGAGCGTCCTGCCTCCCTTCCAGCTTTGCTCCCTTCGCCGCCGCTGGGCCTCCGCCATCCGGATGGAGAAAGGACCGTCTACTTCCCTCCCTCCCTGTCCGTCCCGTCGCCGATCTCCTTGGCGTCCCCCTTGGCTTGCTGAAGCCTCAGACTGTCCCCAACCGTTTTGTTCCTGCTTCGAGGGAGTCTGACTCTGCAGGGACTTTGGGACCCTCCCCCACCTCTGCTGCACAGCCAGTTGCCGTAACCCCTTTCGATTTCCCAGGACGTTTTGGGCACCCTTTTCCTGGGCTTGTCTAGCTTCCACCTGGGGTCCTCTGAAGTCCCTCAGGGTCCCTGGCACGAATCCTCCTGGCCGCTGTTCCTGTTCAGCTCCCTCATCGCTGCAGGGTCTTCCCCTCCACCCCCACGGTGGGGAGGAAGATCCCCCACTCCTGAGCGCCTTTGCAAACTGGAAGGAATGGGGGCTCAGCAGCTGCGAGTTCCAGGGATTCCTTGGGAGAAAATTGTGCTTTTCTCTGGTAGCCTCCCTCCACTTTGTTGTTGTGTTTCTCCCGCCCCTAAAAGAGATCTCTCCCTCCCCCCGCCCCCAATGAGGGATAAAATCTTGCCTACTTGACATGTTGCTGGTTCTTGCATTTCTTGGTCTTCCCCAGCATCCTTCCATAATTAGAGGAATTTTTTTCCTTGCTTTCTTGTCTTGATTTGACCTGAACTTGTAGTAATTATAGGGATGCATCAGTGTAGTTTTCTTGGCAACACTCTGGAAATAGTTTGTCATTATCTTTTCCTAAGATGTTTCTTTGACTTTCCAGTCTTGTGGACAGCTTTAGGATTTCCTGGTGGTATCCTGTCTAAGGACTAATCAGATCAAGTCAGTCAAGGTCAGCCAAATGCTACCATCTGCTGTGACTTCTTTTCCATAGGTTAATATGAGGCTCTTTTGGAAGATGTGGCTAGAGGTGTGAAAAGGTGAGTTTCTTTTAAATTCTGCTCTTGGTACTGAGAGCAGACAGAGCTCTTGAGGAGTGGCATGTAATTGTTTACTTCTTGGAAAGCTTCCTAATCTGTATGTTGTAGGATTGGAGGAGCTCTGACAGTTTGGTTATTTAAACTTAGCTGCTGGGGGAAGTCCTCTGCCCCTTGTTTGTTTTCTCCCCCTGAAACGTATCTCCGGTTACAGTTTGTAGTTTATGTTGCTCTCCTTCCCCACGTTCAAGCTTTTCAAGCTGGTTGGGGAAGGCAGGATTGCCACAGCTGGCAGCTGTATTGGCAGAATGTTGTTATGAGCTAGTAGAGTTAAGCTGTGCTTCAGAGTTTATATGAAGTGCCTTTGAGAACTAATACTGGTTGCACCTTGAAAAGAGGGACCAGGGCTTGAAGCTGTTGCATACAAGTCCTAGGATCATGTCCAAAGTGCTCTGAGGGACCTTTTGGAGACTGAATCCAAGGCATTGCCCTGCCCTATAAATAGTGGTGTGCAGTGTTTGGATCTAAAACAGGCAAAGTGTTGGCAGCTTCTTAAAGAAGCCACACCTTTTCCTGGGCTGCCTGTTTGTGTTCAGAAGCCCTTATGGAGGCAATGACACGATGCAATCACATGGCACTCCCTGTTGTTGCCTCCTGAACTCAAACATGTATTTTCCTAAGCCTAAAACGACCTGTTGGCCTGGTCTGCTTCAGATTCAAATACTGCACATTGCTAAGCTCTACCTATGAACTAGACGTTGTCTTACTTTAGCTTCAGAAATCAGTGATATGAGGCATTAAGATTGCAATTGTTCTCTCTTAGTCATGAGAAACAGTTCCTGGAGCTGGCTATTAACAACATAGTTGGAGATACCTGGTGCCAATGTAAACAGAACAGCATTCCGCAACCTGTGGTCTGCAGATGTGATGTACTTTATTCACATTCTCAGCAGTGCAAAAGAGCTCATGTTGCATGGAGAAAGTTGAAATTCAACCTCCAGCATCTCTAGATAGAGTTGGAAAGATTCCAGTGTGAAACCCTGAAATTCTGTTGCCCAGGATAGCTGGTGTCTGTAATACAGTTCGATGGACCAGTAGTCTGATGAATTTGGCAAATGTAGATTATTCAATAAACTATGGCTAAATAAATCATCACTTAATGGAACATGTAGTCTAAGACAGTTGTTTTTCTGGAAGGCACCAGATTATGGGAGTTAGTGATAGAATGTGGATCTGTTTCTCTCTTTTTCTCCCAGTGTCCCTTTGAGAACAGATTTTTTCTGGTTTACTGTATTTGGAAAACCTCTGCTGAAAAATCAGCTTAGATCTGAAGAGCAATGAGTGGCCTTAGGCAGGCTCAGCATCGGTCTGCTGAATTTACTTTATGGGGTTGTTATAATGTTTTAGTCTCCTTGGAAGCAGGGTGGAATACTAATGTAATAAATGCTTATTATTAATCTCTATCTGGCTTATTACCCTTGTTGAATGTATTTGTATGATTATAGACAAAACAATTAATTTCTTTTACACTGCTGGAGAGAATTTTGTTTTAACTTTGGAATAGCGATGGATGACATGATTTGTAATGTCTTTTTACTGGAGTGGTGTCATGGTGTGCTTAATGCACTTTACAGATTAGCATAATATTCTTAACAGATCTCCATTAAGCTTTGATGGTGCTAATAATTTCCATAATAACCACTGTCTGCAGCGAGTTCTTGTAAAACACAGGATCACCCACCCATATCTATGCTTTACTTTTTAAAAAGCAATTTAGGGAGATGAGCAGGTTGTTTACAGCATTCATGGAAGGTGAAATACCGAAATTAGGTTCTTTCATTGTTCAGCTGTACAGATGAAATGAAATATTGTCATATGCTTACTTTTGTTCAAGTAGTAAGAAGAAATGAACCTCCAGCCTGTTAAAAGAAGCAGATAAATTCCTTTGTACAGTACTCACATTTCCAGTTGGGCAACAGGTCCCATGAGAAGAATCTGCTTGCTGTGTTTCACATCACATGTCTTATGCATCTCTTTTGCAAGGAAAGATGGAGAAGAACAAATGAGAAACTCCTCTGGTAGGGATAAAATAGGAGGAAAGGTGGGATATAGATTTAACAAATAAAGAAGTTGGGCCAAAGCTCCATCATGTCCAATGTTCTGTTCCTGTAGTGGCCACCCAGTTGCTTCTGGGAAGCCTTGAAGGTGAGAGGAAAGTATAGATTTGTGTATTTCACTGTAATTCAGTGTAACTATAAATACAGTCAAAATGAACTTTTATTCTGCTGCTATCCACCGCTATTTGGAATGTTCCCCCACTTGGATGTCCTTCAAAGCTCAAAAAGGATCATTGCCATGAAAAGATTCCGCAGCTCTGAATTACAGAAATGTCATTCCTGGTGGATTTGCTCTCACATTGTTGAGGACCATCCTGGCAAATATTTTCTTCAAGTGTCAGGTGATTCTGTGTTACCATCAGAGATATGTTGATTTTGCAGATTCTGTAACCTCATTCTTCATTATTTTGTAGCGATGCAATAGTTTTGTGGCTATATTACTACCCAATGTGAAGCACCTATGATTCCCATCCCGCATAGCTAACTGTGCTATAAACTGGGAGAGAATCTGGGAGGTTTGATCTAATGATGGTCTAAAGTTGTGGCTGTGTACAAGAAGCTTGAAAACACCTTGGTGAAGCTGGCCCAGAAGCTCTGTGGTGTCTCTCACTTGTTTGTTTATCCTAATCTTGCCTTTCACAGGCCTCATCATGTGAGGTTTCTTGCTGCTGCTAGCATTCCTTGATGCATTTTCTTCTGAGCTTTTGTTCTTGTTAGAAGTCAAGGGGAAATGAACATTTACATAAGAGCCTGGTAGAGATAAATGTTGGCTTCAGCAGACAAAAGAGAGGAATTGCAACTTGATCCAATGAAAGAGATATTGACTGTTGCAGGAATTGGGGAGATGGGAGGGCAGAAGGATTGTTCGATTCTGTCTTTATTCATGCCTATTGAGATACTGGGTTTGTGACAGTGAAGTCCAGATGGTCTGTTTTTGTTTCAAAGGCAACACTGAGAGAGTACAGTTGAAAAGAGAGAAGGTCAAGAAAGAAAAGCCCAGTGGTTCTCCCCTTGTAACACTTCAGGTGAAGTCGAAACAATCTGATTAAAATCTTCATCAAGTCATCTTGTTCCAAACCATTATTGTGTCAGCATTTTAGGTCAGCAAATCTATACCAGGGATCAAGGACAGTGATTTCAGAGAGAGAAACGAAGGAAGGTCAGTCACTTGCTGTATTTGCTCTGCATGCGGAAAATTCCATGTTTGACTCCTGGCATCTCCAGTTGAAAGGAAACAAATAATGAGATCAAACTCTTCCTGAGTTCCTGGCAAGAATGGCTGTGGTGGTTTGGAGGAGAGAGCAAGGAAGGGGCACATTCCAAGAAGGGCAGAGAGACAAGAGACAACACAGTCTGGAGCAGGAGATTTCGGATAGCCACTCCCTAGAATCTCCCAGCATGTATCCACTAGTTGCAGTAGTACAAATTTAGTCTGCCAGGAGTTTGTCTATATGGTATAAGCAATAAAAGAACTGAACTTTGGACTGTTTCCCTGTTGTTCTTGGGCTGGACCTGACACTGGCTTAGGTGGCCTATGATATAGCAGCTTCTTGCATTCTTGAGAAGAAGAGCAAATTAAAAGATGACCCACACTTGTGTTATCCTTGCTTTTCAAAGTGAAAAAAAAAAGCTGTGTCCATTTCTCACGAAAGCTAACTGAAGCCAGATTGCTTTTCTGGCTGTTACATAAAGCATCGTCTCTTGCCCATGGTAAATGGCTTTTGCATCTGTTCATGCTATTACATTGAAATGAAGGCATTGGCAGTTGAGAGACCATTGCAATAGGTCATTTGATCAAAAGCTGGTCCTACAACCACTTTACA